TTCTATCCTAATTAACTCTTTAATTAAGATGATCATGTTTGGGTCTTTTTACGTATAACCAATTCCTTTCCGTCTCTCTACTCTTTTTTAAAATCCATATTTTACAAACCCTTCAACTTTTCTTCTGCATTCTTGAGTGCATGCATGTGGCTCCCTATTTAACTAATATTGTTCATGTTGGCCCTTCCATTTTTCATATATTCATTAATTAATATTTCTAAATAAATAAATATTAAAAACATAAATTAAAATTTTATATTTTTTTACCAGGGAACTAAAATTTTATATTTAAAATCAAATTACATGTCAAATTAATTGTTAAGCACGGTTTGGAACTCCTCCTCTTCCCTTCTCATCCTCTTCTTTCTTCTTCTTTTTTTAACCATTTGATTAATATTTTAAATGTTCAGATTTAAATCTTTTTAAAACCATTGTTAAAATATTAAATTATAAAAATAAATAAATAATAAATTACAAACTGTATTAAAATTTAATTCTAATAGTTTGTAAATGTACTAAATATTTTTAAAATTTTTTTATAAATATTTTATAAAAAATTAAAATCTAAACTGTTGAAATATGTTAATCTAATAGCTAGGGGAAAAAAATGACAAGGGAAGAGGAGATATTCCCAACAGCGTTACATCGTATAGGGAGGGGTAACATCTCAGAAATTAAGTGGGCCCTAGTGGACACGTGGAAATACGACATTCGCTGCTACATTTCCAAACGACAAAAACCAACGAGACAGCAACCGGCCGGGTATTGCTTCCTTTTGGGACAATTTTTCAGCCCCTCACTCAGTCACTCACCCCTAACATTACACCCTTTTGTTTTATTGTTATTAATTAAAATTATTTATTGTTTTCACTTTTAATTAAAAAAATAGTATTGCTATTGACTTGACCAGATGCTAGTCTTCTGTCTTCCTTTTACTCTTCTCTCATTTAGACTACCTACGACAGACGGAGCAGACCTTCCCATTTCTTCTGCCTCTTACAGTCTGAGAAGCATTTGAAGTTGGGAACAACAACATCAACCTCATGAGTTAATTCAAGCAAATCTCTTGAGCTTTCAGGTTATTTGATCTCATTTTGCTCTAGAATCTTTCAATTTTCTTCACAACTTTTTACTATGTTCGTGTATATTTTCCTAATTAGTCAGCATCACTTTTTCTTTTTTTCTGAAGATTCATTACTTTAGATCTTCTTGTGCATCACTTTCAGAGGCATATTTTCTGGAGAGAAACAAAAGTCTAGAATTCAATTCAAGTCTTGAGGTGAAGAAAAGTTGTTAAATATGGAAATTTTTTAGTTTATTACCGGAGGAAGAAAACCTACATAGTGTATATTTAAGTAGCAGCAGGAAAAAAATGCTCAAGAAGATGTGCAGTGTATATTTATTGTCAAGAAGATCAAAGAGCACTACGATTCACTGTTACAAAGTTATTTTAGTTGTTTCTCTGTTCACGTACTTCATGGTCTAACTAAATCACTATCAGAATATTTGAAGTACAAATAACAAAACTACAAGAGGAGAATGATTTGTTATGTCTATAAAAGCACTTAATCAAATCTGTGTTTGCTTTACAGGGAGAAATGGCTACATCTGATGCCCATTCAACAACTTCAGAATCATATCAGCAGCTTCAAAGGGTTGTTTCAGCTCAGTTTAGGAGGCCTTCCCTTGATCTATTATCAGATACAGGTAATCTCTCCATCCTCTATATGAACGGAGTATGTTTAGTTTGGTCAAAATGTATTGTATTCTATTGGGATATAATAGGATATGCTCATGGCCAAGTTGAAGGAAAACGGAATTCTATGTTAAGATGTATATATTTCATTCATCCTTCCCCCAATCTTGAGCTTGACTATAAGCTAAAGTTGTTATTAAATTTAGACTAACCAATAGTATTAACAAAAAAAAACTCACAAAGCATGAGTGTTAAAAAAAAAACTCAGAGAATGCGTGTTAAAGTAATATACAAATAATTTGTGCCGCAGTGTTAAGTACAGCCGCCACAAAGCATATTTTAACTGGCATATCATACTTCATGATAGGAGTAATTTATTTTAACACTTTTGTTATCAGTTTTTTTCCTTTGGAAAATAACACAAAAGAACTTACTCATAGCCAACTGTTTGTTATTATATATGATTAATGTACTTGAGCTACTTATATATAAAATATTAAGCGTAGATCGTTTTATATATTATTTATTTTTCATGGTTTAGTTTGTTATATATATATATCATTATATTGTATATGTATATTTCATGCCCATATCATAAAGTTATCCCTGATCAAAAATTATGGTTTTAAATATGCGTATGATTGGGTCGCTCGTAATTTAACTTTGATTTGTGCGCGTGCGTTTGTGTAGTTGTGGCCAGAATTAATTATGATCTAAATATGGATATAGGTCTTCATTCAATACTCATTACAACGATGATTCAATGCTCATTACAACGATGAGCACATAGTGTACGTGCTCATCACTGTAATGCAATATAAACCATCTAAAATTTAATGTCTAAAATTTAATGTGGATGGTTGAAATTTAAAATTTTTAATATATAATTTTTTCAATGATAAATTTATTTTTAAAGATATGTTAGTTATGATATTATATTTATTTTAAATTCTGTATATATATATTAAAACAAAGGTTGATTAAAATATATAAAAAAACTTAAATTCAATATAAACCATCTAAAATCGATATAAATGGTCCAAATTGCAATGAGCGCTCCGTGTTCATAAAATCAATCTGAATGTGCTTCCATTTGGATATAAAACAGGGACTAACCCGTGATTTGGGGAAGATTATTTTGGACGCACGTGGCTGGCTGAACCATATGTGGTTTAATCAAAGGTTAACAAAATTGCCGTTGAACTGACCATGGCTTTTCATAGCCCTGATGATTAATTAACATATAATTTAGTCACGATTTTACAAATAAGTGGTGTGGTCAATAAGTATTTTGTGATATACGGTTCACTTAGTTTGCAAAAGCAAATTGTTACATATCTATGTGTATGCTGGTTAGTGGCTAGTGGCTATTTAATTAGCTTAATTTGCAACCAAAATAATTGGGGGGACTTGTATATAATTACTATTCCGTTAGATCTTCAAATATTAAATCCACCATATGTCTTGCCAAGGATCAAACAATTTCACAGTTTCATTAAAGAGATTTATTAAAAGCTCAGCAGTACTTAACATGCAAAACAATCCCAAATTCTAAAAACCTACTACCTCCAATTCTAATTATAAGACTTTTTTTTTTGGTTACCCAAAGTATCCTCCCATCTGAACGGCAAAAGATTGATATCTCAGGGTATTATCAAGCACTATAGCGGGGACCACTTCTAACAATATTTTTTTCAATACACACCGTCCCAAGAATCAAACCTAGAACATGATATTTAAGGGGCCTAAGTCCCTTCCACTGGGACCAACACTTGTTGGTTATATAAGACCTTGTTTGTAGTCTATAAATGGGTTCTTATAATTAAGAGAGGAGGTCGTATATTGTTGGGTCTTCTGAGAATCCACTCTCCTGAGAGTTTTTGAATTATTATACATAATAAAATAGAAAAGATGTGTCTTAATCACATGGTACTTCTTCCGATCCTATATATAAACTTCAAATAACTGAATCACGTTTAATAGACTAGCAGTTAAAATTAGTTAAAAATAATAAATGGGTCAGAAATACTTTTTGTTTCAAATTTGTCCTTATTTATTAAGAAAGTAGATGAGAGAGGCAATAAATGAAAAAGTGATAAAAAAAAAAAAGAATATATGGAGATAATATTAATGAGAGGAATAAAGCACTAAATACAGTCAACTAAGGGTAAAATCTTTTTGAAAAAAAATTCATGCAAACTAAAAAATGAAACTTATATTTTAGACCAAACTCTTTTTTAAAAAACCAAGCTTATATATATAATCGGAGAGAGTATAACATATAAGAATGTAGGGGGGGTCACTATGATGTGAAATAATACAATTTTTTTTTGTGACCAGCAGCGTCCGTCCAATTTGTTAGCGCATTATTTCGTGTCCATATTGACTGCTTCATACTTTGTGATGCCTCAAAGTAAATTACACTCAATCAAACAATTATATTTAGGTATTATAAATTCGAAAAATACTGTTTCCAAAGAATTAGCTCTAAACATTAACTATTCCTCATATATTGTAAAATGTAAATACTTTATGATTTAAGGTTTCATTTATTTTTATAATTAAAACCTTAATTTGATTTATTCAGAGTTTTTAAATACTTTTAAGACTTTGTAAAATGAGTATGTTTAAGGCTAGTTATTTAATTTCATGTGAGTCATGTTTGAAGTCTTAAATAATGTGGTTCAATTTCAATATCGAAAACTAGGCGATATTCAAAGTGCGGGGCCCAAGAGCTAATTATCTCCGTTTATAGAACCAAATTAAACAGGGACAATAGATCGACGGAAATCAAGGTCAGACGCAAAATTTTGGACTATTCAAATTGATTTTGGATAGTCCAGATTAATTTTAAATTTTTTATAGATTTTAATTAATTTTTTGTTTTAATAGGTATAGAATTTAAAATAAGTATAGCTAATGCTTCTTTTTTTAAAAAATAAATTTGTCATTGAAGATATTAAAAAATTTTGAATCTAAATCTTTAAATGGTTTAAATTGCATTATATACACAAGCACACACTTCCTAACGAAAGCCATCACACTTCAATATCCCTGCGACAATCTGCATCGAAACGAAATCCGGCATAAGCATCTAATAAAGAGAAGAGAGATTGTTTTTCGTATGGATTTAAGTTTTGGACGAGAAATACAAGAGTTTTTCTTTGTGTTATTCACGCGCGCGCGCATATTATATAGGCTCACTATTTGAGAGGTTCGGGTTCTGCAAGTGCACCTTTCTTTTTTCTTTTTACCAGATGCATGTACCCTTTTTTTAGTTATAATATATATATATATATATATATTAATAATATAGCCAAACTCGGGCAGCTTTTTGGTATGCCCGGGCAGCCGTCTCCGCCGTGTCGAAAGTGCCAAGCCAAACTCGGGCAGTTTTGAAAGGATCTCTGATTTCAGCTGCCCACTTCCCCCATGGCCTTTGTCTCACTCCACTGTACTTTCTTCTTCCTTCCTCAGAACTTCTCACATGCTCTGTATTACATCTATATTCATACACTGCGTTTCCCATTTGCACCCTCTCTCCTCTCGAACCTTTTTCTGCATCTGTACGTATTCATTCGCACAAGCTTATCAGGATTCTATAAAAGATCCTGCGTGGCGATACAATAATAAGACAGAATCTTGTGTGAAAGAAAGTGATAACTGGTTTGTTGCATTCAATCTTTTTTCTATTCCATTGTGAATGCATTCCTAACATTCTCAACGTTCCTACCGGATGATGTTAAAGCCCATCAGGAGAGAGATGGGAAATTAAGGGAGGGAGTGCCAAGATGGCAGTATCACGTCCGAAGTGAAAACTTAAGCGAAAACTTCCAAGGCAAAATTGGAGCTTAGCCTTAACATTATTCAACTCAACGAAATAGGTGTATATGGTATGTATATTAGAAGAAAAAGGAGGAGTAACTACGAAGCTGACAAGTTTATGAGCTCAATGAGAGGTGGGATCATCTTGGTTTGCTGGAGAAGATCATGCGGCGTGTTGGGATTGGAGTGGCGGGAGTTATTGAAGGAGAAGTGATGGTGAGAGGGTATGGCGTATTTGCTGGGGAAAAAGCCTGCTGCGTGGTTGGCAAGTGAGTGCCATTAGCAGTTGCTGGAGGGTTAGAGCCGACCTGAGGGTGATGAGTGGGGGGTGTAAGAACCCTCTGGATATTGATGCTTTCAGAATTCATAGTGGAGCTTAGCTTTAATCTGAGGATTATCTCTGAAACCCTTTGGATGAGATATATAGAAATTTGGGTTAGACACGGCGAGAGAGGCAAAGTCAGATTGTGGCAATAATATTTCTTTCTTTAGGACTCTGTCGATGACGACGGGGAGAGAGAGAGAGAGAGAGAGATCTGAAAGGAAAGGCAACTCACTTATACTTAATGCTGATGACACAGAGAGAGAGAGAGAGAGTATCCATTGATTTTATGCTTTTTTTAAAAAAAAATTGTAATAAGGTGCCATTTAAAAGAATTAAATAAAAAAATCCCTTAAAAATATTAACTTCATCCGAAATTTTAAGGGATTTTATGACAAGAGATTTCAGTTGTTTATTTACTAAATTATCTTTTTTTTTTTAAAAAAAGTATGCATTAGCAACTTAAGGTATAACGATTAATAACTATCACGACAGGTATTAACAACACATTTTCTCAGTACATCACAGAAATGTATTGTATGAATTGTCAATATTTATCACGATAGTTGTTAATCATTATACCTTAACTTGTTAATGATTGCATTTTCAGTTGTCAATACATACTTAAAAGAAAAAAGATAAGGACAATTTGGTAATTAGACAAATGGAATCTCTTGCAATGAGGCCTTTTGGAACTTCAAATTAATTTGATGATTTTAAAATACCTTTTTGTATTTAATTCTCTTAAATGATATTTTATTACAATTTTTTCTATTTTCTTTTGTTTCGAGAATAATAATGATACTACTGAGTTTTCTCGCTCCTCTAACTCACTTATATATTTTTTTTTCTGTTTTGAGAATACTGGGTTTCCTCTCTTTTCAACTCACTTATGTATATATATAATCTCTCTTGTCTTCTCGGCCTCGGCAATGCCCTTACAAAATCAACTAAAACCAATAAAATAAACAAGTCCGATCCATACACCCAGCAAGAGTAGAGAGGGGAGATAAAGAGAGAAAAATGTGAAAGAAAGGAAAATGATCATCCTACCTTTATCACTTGTGTTCGGTACTTAAAATATAGATATATGCAAAAATTAAAGATCAAGATATTTTTTGAATTAAGCGTCCAATCTTCTATCAAGTTTTGTTCGCACATATTTATCCCTTTGATCCGCATCTTTTCAAAAGAGGTATGTGTAATTAAGGCAAATGCAAAGAAGGCTAGAGTGTTTTATCCTAATTTGATTTTTTGCTAGCTAGTTATATAATGATATAGTGACTTGATAAAAATACAATTTGATTTTGCAAAGTGAGTAAATTAAAAAATTATTAGAATTCAAATTAAAAACATAGGATCCGTTTAGATTAGCGGTAAAAAAAAAACTTATTTTCAGTCTGATTTTAAAGAAGTCAGATTAGATAAAAGTTAAATTGAGTGATACGATTTATGTTTGGATTGACTTTTATAAAAATTAGTTTGTAAAGTAAAAAATTGTTTGGATTATGATTGAATAAGTAAGTTTGGTTTGTAAAATGATCAAAATGAATATGATTTTTATTAAATAATAAAAACTATTAAAAATATGAATTTACAAAATATAATAATTTTAAATTATTATAATAAGAAAAAATTGTATTTAATGAATAAAATATATTTAAATTAAAATGTAACTAATTAGATGATATACTTTGCATAATTTATGTAAATATAAAATAAAAAATAATATTAAAAATTGAGAATATTGTAAAAACTAATAAAAATTGTTTTTATTTAAGAGAATATTAAAAATAAATAACTAAAAATTGATTGAGAATCACAAAGAATATATAGAAAGAACCGTGAGAACAACATAAACATGAAGGGAAAAAATGGTTTTTAATTCCAAAAACCTATTTTTGCATAATTCATGGGTAAATTTTAAGTGCTCTTACAATCATACTTAAAAAAAAACTTTTGATCTATAAGTTAGATTAGTAAAAAATTATGATAAATAACTCTTAAATTTATAAACTGACTTGTTATATTTATAAGCTACTTTTTTCCTCCAAGACGCCACAGAAAATTACAATCCCCCCCCCCCCAATCTCTGTGAATGTGCATGAAGCCGTGAAAGCTTGAAGGGTGTCCGTCGTTTCCGACGTAGAGAGAAGGGCCGGGGGGGGGGGGAATCTGATAGGAAAAGCAACGGCATCCTGATGACAGAGAGAGGAAAGAGAGGGAGAGAATAGTATTAGTTTTATTGTCTGCTACCACTGGCCACGTGTTCCTGACTTATTTTGGATGCAACAGTAGTCCAACTGTGGGACAACCACAACCTTTGAGATTGGCCGTTGCAGGTCGTAATTACAAGTACTATTCTCTTCTCCTCTCTCTTCAACTCGCTTGCGTATAAGCTTTTTTGTCTTCGGCCTCGGCGATTGCCTTAGAAAATCAACCGAACCCATCAAGTCAAAACCAATAAAAGAACCAAATCCGATCCATGCACGTAGCAAAGGGGAGAGGAGATATATATATATATATATATATAGAGAGAGAGAGAAATCTGACAAGCGATACTGTCAGATTATATACACTGCATCCATGTAAGGAAAGCATTCACAACATTGTTGTTCTAGTTTGCAACCCTTCAACTGAACAATTCAAATGTGTTTATGTACAATACAATAACGCATCAAGTTTATGTTGGTTATTACGGTCAGCTTAAAGTGACAAAAATCTCACTAACATATGGATATATAATAACATGGCCATATATATATATATCGTATAATAAATAAACATTGAAGTATATAGGGTTAAGGTGCATCCCCAAAGTATTTTTTAAGTGCATTCAACACCCCAAAATATTTTTTAGATGCCTTCAGCACCCTAAAGTAATTTTTTTTTGTCTTGGTGTTGGATGCACTAAAAATATTTTGAATGTTGGACGCATCTAAAAAAATATTTCGGGGTAAAAGATATAGCAAAAAATATTTTAAAGTGTTGGACGCATTTAATAAAATACTTCAAAGTATTGGATGCATGACAAAATACTTTAAGGTGCTGGATGCACATGAAAAAATACTGAGGGGTGCTGGATGTACTTTAATCTAAGTATTAATAGAAATTTATTTTCTAATGCATTTTTTAACACACAAAAAAAACCAAATATATATCTGTTTTCCTAAATACAAATGACACAAAAAAAACCAAATATATATATGGTTCCCTAAATCCCATCTGCCTAACTTTTTTCCTTATGGGACAATGAGAGTTTATAAAACGAAAATATTGCCCATTTTTAAATGAAATATTAAATGGATAAATATTACAATTAAGGTCGGCTGTCGCGTAGAAGAATATTTGGAAATTAAGGTGGGTGGGGCCCAAAAGACAAGAACAATGGAGCCGTACGCATCAGCATGTTGCTTCCTTTTGAGACAATTTTTTAGCCCCTCACCGGCCCCTCACCGACCCCTCACCCTCACACCCTTTTGTTTAATATTACAATTATTTATTGTTTTCAATGGTTATTAAAAGGTAATATTGCTATTTCTCTAGCATGGCTAAAAGAAGCAGGGTCTTAGATGAAGGCAATTGCGAAGTCCTGCGTGGCTGTTTCAACTTTCAACAATGATTGTTACAGGAGTATTAATTTTCCGCTGCATTTACCATTCCTAGTGCTAACAACAATGACACAACAGATCCTAACTATTTGGAGAAAAGATACTCTGTGTCAGATGCATCTGCATTTATTTCATCCTAAACCTTCATCCTAATCTTCTTATCCATCCTTTTCTCACGTTATGCAGAACAAGATTTTCTCAAGTCATTTTGTGATGCCTCAGGGTAAATTACACTTAATCAAACAATTATATTTAAGTATTATGAATCCAAAAAATACTCGTTCCAAAGGACTATAGCTCTAAATATTTGTTATTCTTCACCTACAACAAACCAAGATACATTATAAACTCGATATTGTAAGATGAAAATACTTCATGATTTAAGGTTTCATTTATTTTTGTAATTAAAGATTTAATTTGACTGATTCAGAGTTTTTAAATAGTTTTAAGACTTCGTAAAAATATTTAAGTTTCGGACGAGAGGTAAAAGAGCTCTTCTTCGTTATATATATTAAAAATACAGCCAACATGCGAAAGCTTTTGCCAGGTAACTTGAGGCTGATATCGAAGAAAAACATTCAACTCAATGAAAACGAACCTGACAAGTTTATGGGCTTAATGAGAGGTGGGATCATCATGGTATTCCCTTCCTCTCTTTTCAGCTCACTTATATACAAGCTTTTGTTTTGAGAATTAGTGGCCCTACTTTGCAGCCCATATTGTAAAGTATTCCCTTTCTTTTCAACTCGTTTATATATAATCTTTTTTGTTGAGAATCAATGGCCCTACTTAGTAGTTCATATCATAAAGTATTCCCTTCCTCCCTTTTCAGCTCACACTTACATATAATCGTTTTGTTTTGGGGATTTATGGCCCTACTATGCAGATCATATTATCAAGCATTCCCTTTCCTCTCTTTTCACCTCACTTGTATATAATCTTTATGTTTTGAGGATTAGTGGCCCTACTTAGCAGGTCATCACAGAATTCCCTTTCCTCTCTTTTCAACTCACTTATATATAATCTTTTATTTTGAGAATTAATGGCCTTACTTAATTAGCAGGTCATCATATATTATAAAGTATTCCCTTCCTCTCTTCTCATCTCACTTATATATAATCTTTTGTTTTGAAAATTAATGGCCCTACTTAGCAGGTTATACATATAAATGGCCCTTCCGAGCAGATCATTTTTTAACTCATCTATATCTAATTCTTTTTGTCTTTGCGTAGGAAAATCAATTGAACCAACCGAAACCAATAAAACAAACAAATCCATTAGCCCAGCAAAAGGAGAGAAAAAAGAGGAAGAAGGGAGAGAGAGAAATCTAAAAGAAAGGGATACAACAAGTGGGCTGAAAAAAAATGTTCTTTTAATTTACAGGCCTTCAATTCAAGATCACGCTTCACAGTTACCGCTCAATTTATGAGTTTAA